GGGGGGGGGGGGGGGGGGGGGGACAATTCATGGGGGGGGGACAATTCAGAGGACATTACGGTAGCCATGAATAGACCGAGCCCTACCCTAATACTGCTACATGGTACACGTACGTCGAGCGCGTAGGCCTAACAAGTGGTAGTTTAACGATACTTTGCCATGATTACTCACATCTCGAATCTTGCGTCTCCGCGCATCAGCCTCTTGAAGTTTCGAATTTGATTGCGTACGCAGCTGAACAGTGTTGACATCTACTTGTATCTCAACCCCCACCCTACTCACGTTGCAATACAATGCACCACGAGTGACACCTAAGGGTGGGTCTTAACGAAGAAATCAGATCTCAAAAATCATATTTAGTATCTCTACGGTTCAGCGAATGCAGCACACACACGGTTCATGCTTTCCAGGCTTGCGTGTGCAGTGTGGTGATAAGACCGCAAGATCCACAGAACTCTCTTGTTGATTGGCTGAAAAGTTATTCCACCGGTCGAATCTTTAGGACTTAAAAACAGGACGACCCAAGCTAAATCAGGTTTTGAAAAAAGGTGAAATGATTTAATCGAATCCCGATTTGGGTGAACCGCGACCATAGTTGCGGGACCACCGTCTACTCGCATGCACGACGCGTGCCCACCTATCCCCATCCACACGAATACCACCCACCGCCGAGCACAGAGGAGAGAGAGAGCACAAAAAGCCAACCCAAAGGGAGGGTACACTGCGCATCGTTGTTGCACGTGACTGCCGCCGAAAAACAACATGTGTAGGGTGTGTTGGAGTTGAAAACTAGACTGGAATCGTGACTGTAGAGGAAGAAAACGAACTGCAAAACGATTGTGAACCATCCTGTGCGAAGCCTCGAACGAGTATTTGATCTGCTGGGTGACATGTAGACACGGGGGTGACATGTAGACACGCCGTGACGACTGGCCGAGGCAACCACCGCCCAACCAATTCGGTTCGAAGAATACCCGAACATCGAGACGACAGATTGATGATTTCAATGGTTTCAACATGCACTCGAGACACTGTAGGACGATGAGGTAGAAACGCCCCACACCGAGAGACGACTACTCGTATGACGTAGGATGATGAGGGCGATCACGACCACTAACCCTAACTCCTTTCCTTTGAGATTGACCTGCGGCCTGTACCAAATATGACATCTTAGTTGTCCACAGAAGACCCACATCCAGACGTATCGGCTGACCCGGTCGATGACTAGCCACAACTAGTACTTCCACGTACGAGGCTCCCTGCATCTTCACCTACCGACCGGATGGACCTCGATACCAGACTTACGGACTGCGGCTTCGTCGATGTCTCCAACCTGAACCAGCATCCTGGACAAACAGTTCACTAACCGGGGGCAGCCCAATCTGCCCACCATGGTGGAGTGCACCACTTGCCTTCACCACCTTCCCCTGTTCTACCGCACGGAACGGGGGTTGTTCTCCACCCCCACCAGCAGGGAGGGGCTCGCGGTGGCCTGCAGCAGCCGCCGCCGCCGTCGCCTCCGTCACTCCCTCGCTGCAGAGCGGCGCCCCACCCAATGCGCCACCTCAGCAGAGAGGTGCTTCCCAGCCGCTGGGCTCCTACTCGCCA